GCGGCCCAGCGCAGCGGGCCCCGGGCGGTGCGCCCCATTCCGTCCAAGTTCCCCCGCCCCTTCCGACCTCCCAGCCGGGCACTGCAGCCTCTGAACTTGTCGCTGGTGTGGGGGTGGGATGGGGGAGCCGAGCCCGACCGTCTGATTTGGGGAGGACAGCAGGAGCTGGGAGAAAGGAGCAATTGATTCTTTTCCTGAGGGGCATAATTTGGGTGGCAGCTGTTACTGGTGAGAGAAGCCGGCGTCCCCGACCCTGGCTCTGCCCTTTAACCCAAGCCAATCCGAGCCTGGGGGCAGCGGGTCCGGACCAGGCCCTCTGCTGACCGGCCGCCCCTCAGGGTGCTCCACGCACCTTTCTCGCGTAACCGGGAGGGTCTTGTCCACACTCTGCCTACAAACTGGGGCCTTGGCTCCCCTAGGAGCCACCTCCAGACATGAGCAGGAGTGGGGTGTGAGTGGGGGTTTGGAGAGATTTACAAAAAGAGCTGGCCGGGGTAGGCGACCTGGGCAATTGCTCTTTTCAAGAGCCGACATCATGCTTACAGCCTGCAGAGAATTGCCGAGTAGAAAAACAGGGTACTCAATTTCCAACCCCAGCCCCCACCCTGGACAACTCCTGGTTTGGTGTTTTACAACCCACTGGTTCTAACAACACTCAGACTGCTAGTCTCTCCTCATCCTTTCTTATCCGCCTGGGAAGACCAAGCCAGAGCCCTGGGACGGGGCATCGCAGCCAGCACACCCACAGGAGGGGTCCCTGAACCCCGGGTGTGTGCAGAGGCTTCACCCTACCCCCCACCCATCCGCTCTCAAGTGAATCCTTGCTGTTGAGACCAGCGCTTCCCGAGCGCCTCGCAGACTGGAGTTGTCTCTTCCCCTTGGGGTGAGGTGCAGGCAGCGCTCGGGTCCCTGACCTAGGAGAGCAGCAGTCTCCGAAAGCGCGAGCTTCTGGTCTGCCCAGGCGCAGGACCTGCCAGGCGCTAAGTCCTCTAGCGGCAAACTCTCGCAGTTCACATCTGAGCGCTCACCTACACCTAAGGGATCTGGCCCGGGATCAGTTGACATGCAAATCTAAGTCCTAAGTAGGGGAAAGTCTCCTGCGTGTCACCCAGGCTCTCGCCGACGCCCTGTGCGGACGGAAGCCAGGAGTGTCGGGTGCAGGCGCTCGAACTGAGGAACAGCTGAGTGTGTGCTCCACGGCAGATGGTCTCTGAGCACAGATTTGCATCCATTGTCTTCAAATCTGTTTTCGCGCTGGTGTTCTAGATTTCAGCAGCAGATCTATGCACAGATCAGAACACAAAAGGACGAGAAAGAAAATAACACCCAGCCAGGAGGGTTTTTAATAGGCACCGCGAGCTGCCCGGCATAGTTACAAAGCAGTCTAAGGTTTCAGCAGCCCGGCCTCCGGGTCACCAGCGCGCGGCCAGCATTGCTACCACCGCGCGGGGGACGAAGTTCTCGAGACTCCCTCAAGTCCCCGGGGGCTCAGGGACCGGGGAGGGAGCTGCGCAGTGTGCACCCCGACCGCTTCGCACTCCGCGCTCCGCGATCTGTCAGCAACCTCCCCTCTGCGCGCCGCGCGACTCCCGATTGCGCCCGCCTGGGTGTTTTCTTTCCTAAGCCCCTCGATCGTTTCCCCGACATTATTTATTTAAACAGCACTTGGAGCCTCGCTCGTCCACACCCCGCTCCCGCCTCGCTTCGTATGTCCTGTTCTCTCAACAACTTGCAAACAGCACACAACATCGGAGTGTCACCATGGAACATCAGACCTGGGAGGGCGGGACAGGGAGGTGGGCGCCCCGGGGACGTTTGCAGAAAACCTAAGTGCGTGTGGACACACTCTCCGCAGACGTGCACAGAGATCCAAACTCCGGGAGCGCACACGCCTCCCGGCGGGCTACCAAAACCTGCCTCTAGAGGCAAATCCACGGAGGCTTCGCGCTCCCGAACCAGCGCGTCGCGGGCCCCACGCTGGGGCAGGGCAGGGTTTAGGAGCTCCCATCCCCGCACGCCACGCGCACTGGGTTCGGGCAAGGACGAGGCGCCCGCAGCTTTCTGTCCATCCAAACTCCGGGAGCGCACACGCCTCCCGGCGGGCTACCAAAACCTGCCTCTAGAGGCAAATCCACGGAGGCTTCGCGCTCCCGAACCAGCGCGTCGCGGGCCCCACGCTGGGGCAGGGCAGGGTTTAGGAGCTCCCATCCCCGCACGCCACGCGCACTGGGTTCGGGCAAGGACGAGGCGCCCGCAGCTTTCTGTCCCCCCACATGGGGCCCACGCGCGGCTGCAGCCCAGCTCCGCTGCGCTCGCAGCCACCGCCTCCTCTCGGCTCCGGGTCTTCCCCTTCCTTTTACAACTGATCCTGTTGGGGATTTTTTTTTTCTAAATTGGATCAGTAGGGAGGAGCACGGAGTGTGTGGGGGGGACCAGGAGGAAGGGGAGAGATTAGGCAGCTATCAATCTCCTATTTCTTCCAGAACAGGTGATGTTCTGAATTGTGGCCACTTTCTGGAAGCCGCTCTGCAACTGGAAGGATGCGCGAGACCTAGGGCGCAGGGCCTGAGGCGGCGGATCTGAGTGCGGAGGGAGGGCGATCCTCAACTTCGGCCGCAGCAGCCCGCCCTCGCGCGAAGAGAAAAGGACGGGTTACTATTATCATTATATATTTTTTTCTTCCAAGAGGGACCCAAACTTCGGCACTGATCCCTGTCTTGGATCGCTTTGGAGGAGACGGCTTGCTGGCAGCGTTGGGAACAGTCCGGACACTGTTGTTGTAACTCATTTTTTTTTTTAAAGCGACAGTAGAGGATCAGACTTTTTAAATGTTTGGGATTCAAGATACTTTAGGAAGAGGACCAGCTCTGAAAGAGAAATCTCTGGGCGCCGAGATGGATTCGGTCAGGTCCTGGGTCCGGAATGTCGGCGTGGTGGACGCCAACGTCGCAGCGCAGAGGTAACGAGTGGGCCGCGCCGTGGCCGCGTCTCGCTGTCTCTCCCCGTGTGCCCGCCCTCCCCTGTCCCCTTGCGCTGGGGTCGCCGCATCCCGGGGAACACTTCCCACGCAGCCCGGCTGGAGTTTCGGGGCTGCCCGGGGCCGTTTCCCCCGCGCTCCTCCCCGGCATTTCACTCTCAGGGACCAAATACAAAGTAGCCTCGGAGGTCTCGCAGCTCTGCCCCTATCACCGCGAGCGTGAGGACCCCCGCTGGCTCCCGGCCACTCCCTGGGTTCCCTGCCACCCGCGAGCGCCTCTCTGTGCCTCTCGCTGT